TCCCCCACTACCGCCCGGCCGCTGGCGACTGAGCCGCCGATAGCTCTGGAGCTCTGGCTCAGGAGCATTTTATATTAGAAATAGGCTGGGTTGTTTAGGCATCTCTCAAAAAATCGTACAATTTTCTTTGCTACATAAATAATGTTTATTTTCATTAATAATTAAATATATATATTATGTATTAATAAAATTAAACATTATTTATGTAGCGAAGAAAATATTACGATTTCCTGAGAGATACCTAAACAATCCAGCCTATTTCTAATATAAAACGCTCCTGAGCCAGAGCTATCGGCGGCTCGGTCGCTAATGACCGGGCGGTAGTGGGGGAACAGGAGACGTCGTCTCGGGAATCGACCCGAAATGTGCAACTAATTCCCAAGATCTATAGAGAGAAGGTTACCTCATACGCAAAGAGGGACGAGCGGCAAGAGAGGCAATGATGATGTCATCTGCGAACAGAGCTATGACAGTTACTGTTCGCCGATGAGATCATCATGCTCCCCCATTCTTTAATCGTCCCTCGCCTACAATCGGTTTTACTGAGGTAACCTTTTCTCTATAGATCTTGATCTCAGACAGCTACTGTTCGCAGATGAGATCATCATGCTCTCCCCTTCCTTCATCGCCCCTCGCCATCAATCTGTTTCTAGCTCCCCTCTTACTTCATCGCCTCTCGCCTCAAGTTGTTTCTAGCTCCCCCCTTCCTTCATCGTCCCTCGCCAACAATCGGTTTTACTGAGGTAACCTTCTCTCTATAGATCTTGACTAATTCCGAGCTCTGGAATAAAGGGACGGAGCACGTTCTAGCCGTGAAACACGTTCATGGCTTAGCGGGGGAGGGGGGAGGGGCGTCATATTCGTTTCTCAGTTACACACATAGAACTCATACTTGTGTATATGTGAGAAATGAAAGAGTCAACATAATAAAAGTTAAAATAGAAAGAATTTATGTCTTCATGTAATTCAATATTTTTCAGTCACAATTTTCTTTTATTTACATCTCTTTTGGTAATATGAAATATTTATACATATCATAATTTTAATCTCATTTCCTTTATATTTAACCTTTTTGAGTTAAGCTATCAACAAAGACAGCATTTTTTTTCATATATAACAACAATAAAGTTATATATTAAATAATAAGATTAATATAATTTTTTACCTATGTAGATTAATTTTTACATTTTGCTCTAATGCTTTTTGAAATTTACTTTGTTTTTCAGTATTATAATTTGTAATAGAGCATCCTGGCACTATACACTTAACCATTTTAATAAAAAAAATTAATTTTCTTATAATTCTCTCTTATGCACCTAACTTCTTCTCGTCTTCTGATACCACTGGACACTACCACACAAATGTAGGAATGTCACAGACTGGTGTCTCTGTGTAAGAGAATAGAAACTAATATGGCGAAAAGCAATTCCCCCCACATGCTTGAGTTATCGCTTGAGTTACTCCTAAACTAGGATTTTAAACTCGGTCTCTCTATTCCTTAATCCGTAGTGTGGTCTAAAATTCGCTCAGTATTTTTTGGCGTCAATCGTTATAACTTTGAGACACATTATTTCGTTTATCTGTGCATTCTTCAACGATTAACTGTCATCTGAGTTCTCAATCTGATTTCAACGAAGACAATAAATCGGATTTGTTAATCTAAAAGTAAATGATTATTCGATTGTGTGATCCACGCTCTTTCCTTTCGCACTTGCTCCATCTTTCTCGCTCTCTCTCATTCGCTCTTCTTGCTCACTCTCGTTACAGTCAGTTTCGCTCCGTAGACGACAGCAATCTTTTTCTCCCCTTCTCGCTATTCCTCGTCGCTCTTTGTCACACTGTTTCGTTTTCTGTGAGATCTCCTACGCTGTCTCTGAGCGATACCAGAGCTATTCTTTTTTATTTGCAGTGAATATTCAAACTTGCTTGCGAACAATAATAATAATAATTAAATTTAAATGTATACTTTTAGATATATTATATGAAGGCAACCAATACTTTTAGACGAACAGTAATATACCAAATAAAAATCGTTGGAAAGCAACACTATATGAAAAGCTGCCGTTACTGATCTTCAATATTTTATTGAAAAATCAGAGAAGAGGGAAATTTCTTTAATCTTAAAAATCTTTATTATAGACTTTATTATTATAGACGAAATATTATTAAAGACTGCTGTAACTATAGAAATATTTACATAATAACACATAATAATAATTACATAATTATCAAGCAAATATTGAATAAAACAAAATTATCGATCGTTTACTAAACACTTTGTTCTGCTAAATGCAGCTAATATTAGTACCCTAATTTATTTCCGACTACTCCATAACTATGATAGATTGCCTATGGGTAGTAATCTTTAAATACCATATAACATAATAATGTGTTTAATAAATTTGCAATTATCTTATTTTCTCATTATATCTCATATCAGTATCTGTTATATTTGTTTTTTCAATATACAGGGTGTTCCTATTTTATTTTAAACAGTCAGATATCTGGAAATTACGGGATTTTAGAAAAAAATGTTTCATACAAAAGTTTTGACTTTGAGAGGAACATAAGATGGTGTCATTGGTTTGTCCTTGGAAAGTCGTTTGAAGATCACGTAAAGGTCACCTTCAAATGGAGGTTTTTAAATGAAAGCCCCCATTATTCATTGCATATTCTTGTACTCGCTTTTCAAAACACTATGATAAAGTATTTTTTTATTAAGTATTTTTCGAGTTATGAAGCATGAAATTTACAATACTGCTGGCATTAACATTACCTAAAGTGTACTGCATGGAGGTCACATGGTCGGATTTATATCTTTGTTTTGTGCGCGCGCGCGCGCGCGTGTGTATGTGTGTGTGTGTGTGTGTGTGTCACAGCAAAGATAAGAACCCCGTGGTTTGTCACTTCCGCGGTATTTAATGACTCCAAATCTTCTCTGCTATGACTTATGACAAGCCCTAGTTCAAATCTGGAATGGCATTTCGCAGGAAGAAATTAGGACCTGCATTAACACAAGGAAACGGCTGCAAGCAATAATCGAGCAACGCGGAGGCAACATGCGTTACTGAAATTTACAGACTCACATAGTAGAGAGGGTTTGGAGTCATTAAATACCGCGGAAGTGACAAACCACGGGGTTCTTATCTCTGCTGTGACATGTACATGTACATACACACACACACACACACACACACACACGCGCGCGCGCGCGATGTACAAATTCCGGCCAGCAACCTCGCCGTGGTGCACATCCGGTAACGGTAATGCCGGTGATACATGTCAAAAATGCAAGGCTTACTTTAAAATATTATAACTTTGCGAAAAAAAAAACGCAGCAATCTGCTGTTTTTTATTAAATTAAAGGGGAAATTTCCAGCTTTATGCCCCTGCAAACGGCATCCCCTCAAAAAAATTCTAGCAAGTCCGTGCATTCTGTCAAACTTTGCAATTTTCAATATGATAATCATGCCCTCAGATTTAAGGGATTACAGTCGTTGGGATGCAACTTAAAATCGCGTAATAGTATCTTAAAGTAGAAATTTCAAGCTTTTATTTTAAAAAAATCAGGATCCTACAATGATTTTTCGCGGAGTTATCATCCGTCAAAGTTAATTAATTTTTGCCCAAAATTTTTCAATACCATAATTTTTTTGAGCAGTATATATATATATATATAAATATATATACCATAAAATATAATATATATTGCTACAAAAAAAATTATGGCATTGAAAATTTTGGGCAAAAAATTGGTCAACTTTGACGGATGATAACTCAGCAAAAAATTATATTGTAGGATCCTGATATATGTATATATATATTTTTTATATACATATATATATCATATAAAAAATAATATTGCGCAACACAAGCGCGGCATAAACGATACGTCGTGCAGCGCGACGTATATATTGCGATATTTCTGAACGGCTTATTTCTGAAAGATGCGATTTCAAAACATAATAAAATCATATATAATTGAATTCAGCGTAAAAAATTTTACAACTTCTGTTATTACAAAAATTTTGAAATTTGTAAAAGTAATAACAAGGGGTGGGGGTTAATTAAAAAATATTACATTTTTTTAAAATCCAGCTATGCGGTTATAAAGCCCATAAAAGACCATAAAACTTTTTTTATTCGAAATATTTTTTATATTTCTTACAATTTTGATGATATTCGATCAAAACCGAATATACCGTTTTTGCTTGTAAGGATTGTTTCAACCCTTAAATGAGCGAGAAAGCACATAAAAAATATGTGTCTCTTATGTTGAGCTACTCTACAACATATTCAAAGCTTGTAAAAATCGGAGAGATTCACTTCCGTCACTTTCTGTAAGTGCAATAAATAGCATACTATCAACCACAGTGTCGTGATCGAAGCCCCTCGACCTAGAATCCAACAATCCTTTGAGCAACCTCTAACCGAACGAAATTACGCACGGCGAGGCCCCACACCACTACTCTTTTAATTATTCCGACCGCTTACCAAATACCTAAACAAGCCTTACGGATCAATAATATTCCTATATACTCATATATTTAAATTTTTACTGTATGTATATATTTGTAAAATTATTAACACTTGTTAATAAAATAATATAAATTTTTTCACATATAAATAATTTATTTTATTTATTGTTTTCATTGATATTTTAATAACAAAATATTAAAAGCGTAACGTTTTTATACCTAATTTTCAGCACTATATTGAGTTGCAAAAAGAAAATAACAAATAGCAATAATTTGTTACTTATAAAATAATAGCAATGGTGACACAAATTACTTTTTAGAATCAGTAACGAATAATACGATAAAAGTTAGAAAGAAACGGTAACTGTAACGAGCTATTTTTATGAAGTAACTTTCGTAATACTGTATATTACTACTAACATTCAGTTTTCAAATAACACGCGCGCACATGTGTATGTGTGTGGTGTATGCATCATTAATACTTAAAGGGGTTAAGCCGTGCAATAACAATGCAAAATTTACCGTTTACGATAGCCAGCTTGATTTCCTGCTCAGCGCGCAATTCAAACAAGCCATAACCCTCCGGTAGAGCCAGGCCTAAAGAAAATGGAGTACCATCAATCGGCTTGTAAAAGTAGTTGTGCCTTCTAATTGTGACTCGTTTCTGTAAATCAACAAATATTATGTGATAAGAAATTGTACTTCTACAATATATTAATATTATGAAATAACTGTAATTATACTAATATACAGAGCTCTAATCGATTGATATAAAAAAATACAAAAGTTATTTTTAAAAGATTCCACTGTGCTCTGTAAATATGTTAGTGTACTTTGCAAAATTACATATGTAAAAACCACCACCAATTAATAGATATTAATCTAATCAATTTCCTTTATCATTCTATGTATAAAGATATTAAAATAAAATAATTGAAAAGTAAATAGTCCAAGAAAAGTAAAAGAACTTTTTTAATTTCCACATCAATCAAAAATATGTTTATTTATTTATTTTTTTATTTATTTTTATTTTATTTATTTTTTTTTTTCTCCTGACATTTTAGGAGATATTTAATATTTTATATCAAAATATCATAACATAATACAAAATATCTTAGGAAATTCTTAATAAAAAACTTTATGCATACTGTTTTAAAAACATCTCAATAATAGCTACAAAATATGCAATAAAAAAATGGGGTTTCTTATTTAACAAATTTTTACAGCAGATTGACATCATCTCGACACGCTTACTCGAGCTCAAATAAAAATAATCATTTTTTTATCCCTTGAAAAACATATCCTTCAAAAATATGTTGCTTCCAAAAAACATGTCTAATGGTTAAATTAAATAAATTTTAAAATGAATCATAAATGTCTATAATAATTTCTTACCATATCATCGTAATGCATTTTGATTGTAAAGTCCGTTTCTCCTTCCTTTTGATCGATCATGTCGCGCCTTAGCTAAAGAAAATAATATCATATTGGTATGTATTACTCTGTAGTCATAATAATATTAATAATAATAATAACAACAATAATAAGAAGAAAATACATTAAAACAAAGCTTACATCAAGCAAAAGCGAATTATTTGGAGGGATTGAAGGGCCATCGTATTCTGCAAGTTCAACTTCCGATAGATCTACACTTATATATGAAGGTTTCAGCGTTTCTTCATACTAGAAAAGAAATACAATACATACATACATTTTTTTCAAAATTCTCAAATGTTTCACTAAAACGTAACATGTTAGTTTGAATATCTTGTACACGGAGAAAATTTTATATCCAAAATTACTATTGCAGTACGCGCAGACCATGAAAAAATTATAAAAATTTTTACTACATTTTTTGCATAATGGTCATAGTACATATATAGACTTATAATTCCTCTTATGATCCGCCGCTATTGTCGTATTATAGTAATTTTTGATAAGGCTTTATACGGCCCTCGCGATATTGCCTTGAAATTTTCTTACATACAATATAGGGCATACTGATTGTGAGTATAAATATGAAGCAGCAACTTACGGAAATATCTAAACGTTTACAGAAAAAAAAACAAAAAAAACAATTTTTTCGGTACAATACAGCATTTATCGATTAAAATCGACAATATATATAATATATTATTACGATCACGGTTCATTGCCGAACGATCTCAAAGGCACGCAACGCAATTAGCACTCATGGAACACGAAATTAATAAGAACACTTCCCTTATAGCATGAAATATTACAGCAACATTGCAGCAATATTTTTATATTGCGCAATATTGCTGCAATATTGTTAATTTAATATTCTGTAGAAATTGTTGCTAAATATTAGTGCAACATTATAATTCAAAGATGTATATTAAAATATTTTGAAATATTGCAGATATATTTCTTTCATGATATAATATATCTTTATAACAAAATTAATAATATGAGTTTAATATTAGCTCTAAGTAAAATTATTTAAGTAACTTAATGAAATTTATTGTTTATAATCAAGAATATTAAAATAATTGAAAAACAATATTTATAATTAATATTTTAATTGATTCATATCACAAAACTGATTTTATATATAAAATAAAAGCACATACAATATAATAAGAACAAAACAATATTTGTTTGGGTTTACAAATGTATACAGTTGGATTACAAAACGTCAATAAGAACTACCGAACAAGAAGTTTATACATCAATTATTTCAATTTTTATTATGCCGTAGTGGTATAACGATGAAATCAATTTTCGTTTTTTTAATTATCCACATTTTACACATTATGTGTTTTATAGATTAATAAAATAATGTTATCATCAGTTACTATGAAGATGGATAATATGGCTGAAAAACATGGCTTTTCATAAATACTATTAGTAATGTTACACTTTGTTCTATAATATAGTTATTATTTCGTGTTTTTACTATATTCAAAACTCTTACAATTGTCTTATTATCTAACATGAGAATATTATTATTTATATTATTACAGTTAAAATAATATGCGTCATTTTGCAATATTTTAAATTGTATCATTGTTTCATGTGAAAATTCAGATAACAGAGGTAATGCAGTGGTGTTGATATTTTAACTGACACGTAGGAACTATGAATTGCTCTTGAGACATAGACTGCTGTTTACTATATCGTTGTGCTAGTTGCTGCAAAGGTTTTTCAGGTTTTCTAATAAAACAATTTAACACATATAAAGGAATGGCTCAAATGATAACAATCAATTAATATAATAGAAAGGCATAGAGAGCCGTCGCGGGATGTTAGTGCGAAATTATAATTTTTCTTAAAGAAATTAATTTGTTAGTCTACGTGAGACAGTTAAATTTGTACACCGATCTCTGGTTCGAGATACTTAAAGTGTACGAAAATTTTAGTACATTGTTCTCACATATGGAGAATCAGTATTGAAACCGTGTGAGCTTCGGCGGACGCGGAGTAGCTCGCCGGAATCCAGGTTCGGTCGGTTGGGGGTATGTCAAATAAACCAAATGCTCGTTTATAACAAAATAATGAAACAGCGTTTATTGAGAAAGATGTTGATACGATTTGTTTCGAATGATCTGCTTCAATGCTCGTGTGTACATGTGAAGCGCGTGCGAAGCGAATTCGAAAGAACATATAAGTAGCGTGAGATAAATAGAAAGGATCGGTGCGATCGGTATGGTAACAACGGTGAAATAATTAGTGAAGCAACGGCGAAATGATTCGTTAAAGCGGCGGGAAATAATCGTACAAATATCGGTGAGATTGGTATAAGCAATTATTTAGGCGGGCGGCGAAATAATTATCAAAGCGGCGTAAAATAAATCTGGAGTATCGGCAACGGTGTAACAGTCATTTAAACGGACGGCGAGATACTCATTAAAGCGGCGTAAAATAAATCTGGAGTACCGGCAATGGTGAAACAATCGTTTAAGCAAACGGCGAAATAATTCGGTGAAGCGGCGTGAAATAAATCTGGAGTATCGGTAACGGTGTAACAGTCGTTTAAGAAAACGGCGAAGTAATTCGTTGAAGCGGCGTGAAATAAATCTGGAGAATCGGTAACGGTGTAACAGTTATTTAAACGGACGGCGAGATACTTATTAAAGCGGCGTAAAATAAGTCTGGGGTACCGGCAACAGTGAGACAATTGTTTAAGCAGCGGTGAATTGATCATTAGAGTTTGACGTGAGGCGTCTTGGTGCGATCAGAGAGAGCGCAAGCGCGGGCGATCGGGTCGCAACGGTTGGTACAACGCAACGCTCGTCGGTGAGTGCGTTCGTGACGGTATCGCGAGTCCGTTCGATCGTAGATCGTGACGGGTCGCTTGACGGCGCGGATTGGTCGACGCGGTTTGCTCGCTGGATTCTGCGGATGAATCCCTGGTGCGCTGCAACGCGGAATCAGGACCATGACGTCGAGTAAGCTCAACGGGAGTACGAGGATGCTCGTACGAAGGCGGAGTTTAGAACGGCGACCTGGCTGGGTACGCGGGAATGCCCGCAATACGAAGTTCGGTGGCCTAGAGGAGCCAAGTACGCTTAGCGGGGTATACGAATAGACTCGTATCGGAGATAGAAACGGTACCGAGAACACTCGTGTACTGGAACAAGGCATAGAATCCGAGTATGCTCGGTTGAGGACTACGAGGACACTCGCAGCAGGATTGTTCGCTG